CACTGAGGGTTGTGATCCGTTGCCGGACACGAAAAAGACAAAAAAAGGAAAAAAAAAAAAAAGAGAGAGAGAGAGAAAGAAAAGGCAAAAGATAAAAACATCAACGTCCCCATCTCATACCAAATGTAAAACTTAATAACTGGGTAAAAAAGGTGAAAAATAAAGCTTCTAGAAGATAACACGAGAATATCTTCATGACCATGTGGTAGGCAAAGTTTTCTTACACAGTAAGCAATGAGCACTATTATAAAGGACAATATTGATAAATTGTACTTCTTTAAAGTTAAGAACTTCTGTTCTGTCAACATCCAGTGACACCACTGAGAGCATCTGAAGGCAAGTCAGAGAGTGGCAGAAGACATTTGCAATGCATGTGTTCAACAAAGAATTTATATCCAGAATATATATAACAAACTCAAAAGAGTCTATATGAAATCAGGCAGTTAACCCACTTTTAAAAATGGGCAAAAAACTTGAAAGGACACTCCACAGTAGAGGATATCCAAATGGGATTTCCAAATGGGCAACAAGATTAGCCATCAGAGAAATGCAAATCAAGTCATATATGCACAGTAAGAATTGACTACAATTAACAAGACTGACAATACTAAGTATTGGCAAGGACATGGAATAGCTACAACAGAGAACATAAATTGTTAACATCTTTTGAAAGCTACTTGGCAATACCTTCTAAAGCCAAACATATTTAGACTCTGCAACTCAGCAATTCCACTCTTGGATTTAAACCCAACAGAAATGCATACATTAAGTTCACCAGAAAACACATACAAGAATGTTCAGTGCAGCACTGTTTTAATATTTATAATACAAATAGTGTCATTACTTATTAAAACTGAGTAGTACCCCAAGTACCCATTAACAAGAGATAAACCCATTGCTGTATCCTCACGCAATGGAATGTGTATATCAGGGAATCTGAGTGCATGAGGTTCAGGAACATTTAATTCAAAATGAATCTATGGTTGGGGCCGGCCCGGTGGCGCACTGCTACAGTGCGCCGCTTGGGAGCATGGCGGCGCTCCCGCCGAGGGTTCGGATCCCACATACAGACCGGTTCCTGCTCACTGGCTGAGCGAGGTGTGGGTGCGACACCGAGGGTTGCGATCCCGTTGCCGGTCCCGGTCCGGGCATGACACTGAGGATTGCGATCCGTTGCCGGACACAAAAAAAGACAAAAAGGAAAAAAAAAAAAAAATGAATCTGTGGTTATAGAAGTCCAAACAGTTGAATTGTGGGATGTAAAGGAGGTCCATTTTGTCTCTTAATCTGGGTGGCTGGTGTTCTCTTTGTAATCCATTTAGCTGAATACTAATAATTTGTTTCATTTTCTGTGTGTTTATTATATGTCGCTGAGAAAGTTTACTAAAAAAGAAGGTAGTACAGAAGTGAGACTGTAGAAATATATCTTCATGGGGTTAAATGCTTCTTTCTCTCTGTGTTTTTAGTGGACTCTTCTTTTTCTCACTTTTTAATCTGCTGTAGTTGCCTTTTTTACCATTATCCTGTGCTCTTGACCTCTCTCTCCCGGCAGATCCTGGAGGCAGTGACCATGCAGCACATCTTCATGAATAATTTCCAGCTCTGCAGTGAGATCAACGAGAGAGTCGTTCAGCACTTCGTTCACTGCATAGAGACTCACGGTCGAAACGTCCAGTACATCAAGTTCTTGCAGACGATTGTCAAGGCAGAAGGGAAATTTATTAAAAAGTGCCAAGACATGGTCATGGCTGAGGTGACAATTATATATTTGTTTGTACTTTCATCTGGCGTTCTGTAGAAAGTCCTAAATTATTTAATCTTATCTATATTAGCTGGCACCCTCTTCAGGAGACATAAGGAAGGGCAGAAAGTAATTATGTGTGTGTGTGTTTGTGTGTGTGTGTTTTCTCATGCTACTGAGCTTAGGCCGTAGTTATAGGCAAAGTCTGATCTGATTTTTTCATAGCAATAAATCTATTAATTCTAAGGAAGTTTAAGCTTGGATTATTCTGAGAGGGGGGAAAAAAGAAGCTTGGAATAACTGACTAAAATATAGTGAATGGAGATTAAACCCAGTGAGCCAGAACATCTTCCCATCTTGCAAATTATGAATTTTTCTTTAATTATTCACCTAATTAATACAGCTGAAAAATTTTTGCTTGGTGATTGTCAAGGTGAAGCTGGCCTGTGAAATCAGGGGAGCATCTCACTTGGTTCTTGATGGGAAATCAGCACCTTGTGGATGCTGTCTCTGATCAGGAAGGCCCACTCTGCCACACACATGATTTAGGCTTCCACATACATTTAACCCTTCCACATTTTTAAAAAATGAAATCTTGAATAAATCCTCTGAACACTTGATTTTATAAATCTGTCTACATCCGTGATTCCAATGGCAGGTAGGGTAGTGTGGTTAAGAGAGTTGACCTGGGATAAAAATGTCAGCCACACCACTTTACTGGCCATGTGACTTGGGACTTGTTGACCTTTCAAACCCTCCGCGAGCATTTCTGTAAAATGAAGGTAACAGTTCTATTCACTTGAGAGAGTTGGTATGTGGATTAAATGAGATCATGATGACATTAATAGTTAACACTTTTTGGAAGCCTACAATACTCTAGGCACTGTTCAAAGCAATTTATAGATAATGATTTATTTAATCAATATGATAGCACTAAGAGTTAGATATTGTATTTTTCCCCATTTTTACAAACAAACCGAGACATGATAAAGTTAGGTAATCCATCTAAAGAGTTTATTTTGGTATCTGGCAAATAATTAGAGCTCATAAGTTACTTTTTAGTAAGTAAATAGTATTGATCATATTTATTTTGACATCTGTGCCAGCCCTTTTTAGGTCTTTTGTATTTCATGTAGCACTGAAATTGATGTATTTTTTAGTTTTTTTTTGGTCCGTTTTTGAGACCGGCTGCACCGTGCTCAGCCAGTGAGCGCTGTGAGCGCACCGGTCATCCCTATATAGTATCCGAACCCGCGGCGGGAGCACTGCTGCACTCCCAGCGCCGCACTCTCCCGAGTGCGCCACAGGCTCGGCCCGAAATTGATGTATTTTTAAATAGATTTATGAGAAGCCCCATCCTGGGGTACTAGTTATGAATAGGAATGCCTTGCCTTTTGATGAATTTTGAAAGAAGTCATATTTTAATTAGAAGTGGGTAATTTGTGATTGGAGAGATACGACAGTGGATGAAAGAATATTAAAGGGGATACTTTGTAAAGCTTAAAAAGAAAATGGAAACATTTCGGACAGAGAAATCTTAGCCTAATTATTAGGTTTGGAAATACAAATGCAAGCTTGTAATCCGTATTTCTACTTGATACATACATGCTGGTGTGCAGACTTTCTCATCTCTTTTTAGGACCTCAATGGTATTTCTATACCTGTGGATTAAAATTATGATGTTGAAGATTTTTACTTGTTCAGCAATGTACATGAGTAAAACCTACATGAGTTTAGTAATATAGGTGAGACTTGTTTTGGGAGGTAAATGCTAAATGGAACATCTCTCTCTCTGCAAATGGATTTTTAAAATGCTGTCCCCACCTGTAAGCTTGTAATATGAACAATCCTTGTTCTTTTTGTAGCTGGTCAACTCAGGAGAGGACGTCCTTGTGTTCTACAATGACAGAGCCTCTTTCCAGACTCTGATCCAGATGATGAGGTCGGAGCGGGACCGGATGGATGAAAACAGCCCTCTCATGTACCACATCCACCTGGTGGAGCTCTTGGCTGTGTGCACGGAGGGCAAGAATGTCTACACGGAGATAAAGTGCAACTCCCTACTCCCACTGGATGACATTGTCCGCGTGGTCACCCACGAGGACTGCATTCCCGAGGTGAGTGAGCCCAGTACTGTGTATGCCCTTCTCCTCTTTGCAAGTGGCACATGGGACCGTGCCTTGGTGAGAAATGTCATGGTGGCTCACCCAGACGAGCTCACAGTATTGAGACCTGCAGCTCGTTTTGTAGTGAGATTTCAGTTCTCTGTGAAAACATTTTCTCAAGCATTGATTTTTGTGCGAATGGAATGTGGAGGAAAGTTAGTTTTCCTTTGTCTCCCTAAAAAGAGCAGGAAAAAGCTTCAGCTCTGTGAAACTAATGCAAACAGGATGTGACCTGAATGAATTTTTCAGAGATGAGATTGAGTGGGTTGAAATATAGTTCATGAGAATATAGGACTTAGTCTATAAGTTCATTCTTTAAAATGAAAACTCTTATTACAGGGGCCGGCCCGGTGGCGCACTGGATAGTGCGCCGCTTGGGAAGCACGGCAGCGCTCCC